GCTTGTGCGGAATCTTGTTCATCCGTAGCGTTTTACGTGAAGTACGCGAGTTGAATAATGTTGGTAGCGCAGAAGGGCTCCGGAATGAGGGAGACTCCTGAGGATCTTCTTTCGGTAGCATCGGGATATATTTGAACGTCGATAGCGAGTTGTGAACATCTTCTGATGACTAGCTCATCATCTGGTGCCGATGCCAGTGCTGGGTTGTTCACCAGTGGTGATTGGCTTGATCATGAAGACGCTACAGTACAGTTAGAAGTAATAGCATTATCCATGAACCTGAATTTATGTCTTGTAGCTGATTTCCAACCTGAGATGGTCATATTCCGTTCTCTACTTTTCCCTCTCTCCCTATTATCAAGTGTAGTGGGATCTCTCATAAGGGTTCCTATATCATATGAGAAGGTTACGAAAGAGGCTGATGTGTATGCCCTAGTTGGAAAAGTAACACTCGGTAGCCAAAATGTCTATGGTTTTATTGACACCGGCGGTTCCACGACGTTCTTCCTCTGGAAGCATTGGTATGAGAAGGGTCATCCAGGGAGGTGCAAGGACATCATCTTCGGTTGTTATGAATGCAGCCCTGAACCTTGCAGTGAGGAAAAACCTTATACACTAGATTTCGGAGATGGATCCGAAGTACGGATCTTCAAGGAATCTGCAACGGCCCATTTCGGCTCAGCTGTCAGTGCCTCTATTTCATTCGGTCTGCTTGCTGAATACACGTACGGTCCCAATGTGCCAGTCCCTCATGCTGGTTTCGGATTGGCACCACAAGATGATCCAAAATCACCATATATACCGATAATAGAACAACTTCTCGCACGGGAGCTTATCGAGAGTAGTATCTTCTCGATTTACCTCAGGCCTGATGGCACTAATGAAAGAGGGGAACTCCTTCTCGGTGGATCGGATCCTAGTATGTATAAGAGTCCGTTGGTCTATGTAGCGGTTACTACTGAAGACAGGTTTGTCCGAGTTACTGGCTTCTCCCTTGGAGGTAGCGCGTATCCTGTAATGGCTGTGAATGATGATGGTATCCTTGATACTGGAGCAGAGTGCATATTCATACCTATGCACAGGTATACTCTTCCTACCCTCATTAAAGATCTTGAGGTTCGATCAAGCAGTAAGGTGACGATTACCCAAAGGGGTTCTAAGCTTATCGTCAATTGTAATCAACGACAACACCTTCCACCGATAGAATTTCTTCTAAAGGGTCTAGATGGTCCGGACGTCAAGGTGAAGATCCCCTCTGATGCATATGTGGATATTAGAACGGATGCTCAAGGGCGAGCTTATTGTCGCGTACTTCTTAATGTGACTGATTATCCTCTATGGGCTATTGGACTCCCTAGCCTCATTGGACGTTATTTTTTGTATGATTGGACGAATAATAAGATAGGTATTAGTGAACTCAAGTAGAAACACTCTTCGAGAGTGAAATAAAATAGACTATAGGGATGCGTATGGCACATGCGCGAACTGATTACTCCACACAGCAATCAGTCATTAGTCTTGTTTTTCAATCATTCATTGACCCTCCCATCTTTCATTGTTGTGTTGCACCAGTGCGTCCAAATATTATCGAATTATGTTTATCTTGTGGGATAACGGATCGAGTATCCATAGCTTCTATACTTTTCCAGCGCCTGTTTCAAAAATCGTAATTCCTATTTGGACGGGCGGGTAAAATAGAATTAAAGAGACTTTTAGGAACTTCAATTTCGACAAGGAGCGATAATAAGAACTTCAATTTCAACACTAGTTGACCGTATTAGTGAAGGGAGTTCCTCGTTCCCCTTACCGAATGAGAGTCCTACTATGTTTCTCATTGAACTGGCCGAGAGTTCTACCAAGCTGCAATCTTGGTTTCCAAATCATCCCCCATGCTTTAACGCGTGTTAACACTCGCGCATAACTGTTCCACACGTATTACTTGTGTAACTTGAGAGTGCCTCAGCTGAAATATTCATGGGCCGACACATAGTTGTATATTCAGCCATCGTATCGGCCCCATGGTGTTCAGACTGAACAGCTCAGCACAGTGAAGACAGCCGCCAACGCTGGAGAACCTCGCTTCCATCATCGAGCGTTCGAAGCCTGATATAGTTTTTCTCACGCCCTCATTAATCATCCGCGTTAACTGGTAATGCGAGCTCAACGTTGCGTTTTGTCACGTCTTAACCCATTCCCTGGGAATGATTCCTACCCTTATCTCGTCTTATCTCTGGTTTACCGATCGTACTGCCATATCTGGTGAAGCAGCATATACGGGTTGGGATGAGGTCAGGGATGTCTCCATCGATGGAGCGTCTCATCCAAGCAGAAACTATCAAGAACACCAATGGAAAGGCATATCAGGATGGTCCAATGAAGTCTCATCACACTGCTTATGACAGCCCCACTCGTTCCCGGACTCCGGATGTGCGTACGGACAGGAATGAATCATTCTTGCTGACTCGTGCGGAAGGTAGAGTGTCAGCGTTGGAGAACCAAGTGTCTGAGGTGGAGGCTCGATACAGTGCAGCTCAACGACAGCTGAAATCGACAGTGATTGAGATTTTGTCAGAGATTGACGGCCATCTGTATGCTATTTTATCGACTCATTAAGGAGGTTGCCCCAGGCGATATCAATCAGGGACAAAGGGGAACTCTGGCCAGCAGAGCGACTGGAATAATATTAGATTATGTCACACCAGTGAGGCAGGCCAGCGAGGCTCTACTGGACATGTGAAGTGACTTTTACTACAGAGGTGACTTTTCTACTACAGAGGCAAGACCGAGCAATGCGCAGTCAACACTTGACGGACATCAACTTGCCCCTGCGCCTAAGGTGAGCTTCCTCTCTCCTTTCTCGTATATCTTAATTCTATAGCTTCTGTGAGTTGAAACAGTAATGATGAGATGATGAATTGCACCACAGGGTACTCCATATCATTCGGATGAATTTCCTCGATCATTGTTTTCAAGGTGGATTTCGACGCAACCCCACGTTGAGCCAAACATCCGCGCACATTCCGTCTTCAGAGGTTAATCCGCAAACATCTGTACAATACTCGAGAATACTCTGTCCTTATGGATTCGGTAGTCTGCGGCATATGATGCCTAGTGGCTTGCATCCGAAAGTCAGAGTCAGTTGGCACGAAACAAATCGATTCGTCCGACTCGATTCGCCAAACAGAAGTAGCCTGGGCCATTTAGCCATGATTCATAGTATGATCCGCACCTGGAATTACTACACCTGCAGCAGGTGCACACTATATTGCGGAGCGAGCGGAGCTTATGTTACTGCGCACGAACACTCGTGTGCGTGCGTCCGTCCGTCCGTCCATCCATCCGTCCGACCGTGCGTGAGCAAAAATTCTGACCCGACCAGGGCGATTCTGAAGACAAACAGGGTATCATTCTGTCCCCCGTTGACTGCTCATCAGCGTCAAAATATAGCGGAAGTGTGGATGTTGCTTTGCCCGCTTATTTTTGACGAAACGGTTCTTCGCACAAGAGATGAACTATTAGCTCAGTACGTTAGTGACCACGACTCTCAACCGAACTGTCAAATCCCTCGACAATCATTTTTGTCACATGTCTTTATCAGGAGACAGTGGTCGGCCATGTCGAGTCGACGAGTCGTCGACGTCGTCGACGACGCCAGTCAACCCCTGACAACCTTTTGTTTTTAGTCACCCAATTTACAAAATAATTTCAATAAGAGCCCGGCGGGCTCAGCCCGCTGAGTTCTTGATAAGAAGCTCAGCGAGCTCCGCCCCTTCGCACCGAAGACCTAGTATTATACAGGGGCCTAGTGGGTCTTCTGATACAACTTCTGATATACGTACACATCTGAGAACATAGACCTTCCGTGGCACCGAGGGGAAAAGAGAAAGACATGTTTAGGTTGAAGCGACTGAGTATGAGGTCAATGCAAATTGCCATATATTGCCCACTTACCAACCTGATGGTAGGGAAAGTATTGGAACTTTGATATAGCCCATCGATGCGCGAGTTCGCATCGCGCGTGATAACAGTTCCTGTGTCCACTGTATACTATCCAGAGAGCGATCCAATGTGCCAATCGATGGCGCGCCAGGCTTTGGGCTGAGCTCGCCTCGCTCTTTGTGGGCCCCACGATCATCATATTGAATTCCGTACTTGAAGTGTAGGTCAAGAATTCGTAACAGATACCGCCGCCACCATGGCCGCCTCATAAAACGACAACCCACTTCCATGGGCATTTGAGCCAGAAGGCCCAGAATTTCAAAGAGGCCTCCAGAACTTCGGCCTGACCAGTTCGTTCTCGCGAGACTACTGGCTAGTGGAAGCCTGCGTAGGTCGTTCGCCGTTTATCACAGTATCGGCAACTATTCATTCATGCAGATAGCGACAGCACCAGATTAACCTCTCGAATCGAGAGTCTCGATATCACCGGTGCACGAGATAACATTCCGTCGGCGCTGTCGGACTTCTTTAACGTCCATCCTCAACGCACACGAGAACTCGAAAGTTTCGAGTCGAAACCGACATCAGGAAGGGCAGGGTAAACGTCAGAAAGCTCCTCATCTTATGAGAACATCTAGTATTAGATTATCATCATAACATTGTGCGTTGCCGACATTGATGATCCCTCGGCTCTGTCGGGCATTGACTCACTCATCAATATCACTGAGGTTGGGAAGGACCCAACTCATACGATGTGGACCAGAAACGATTGGCTGCACGAGTTACTCGTGTAGCCAATCGGTTACCCTGCAGTTATTCGTGACGAGTATAGTCAACGGATAACCTTGAAACCTATTGGTAAGCCAGCTGGAAGGCGCCCGTCGGAAAAACAACATCGGCAGCAACGATGATGTTGATGGCCACACTACATCGAGAACAGCAGAGGTTAGGTCTATGTTGGAGGATTCTTGCATCTCGACGAAGGCTTGTGGCTCCTGTTTCGTCGCGTAAAAGTACATGGTAATTCGCCGTGCTTGCCTGGTAGGGTTGCTCACCTCGAAGTTCGAGGCTCGAACGTGAGCTCAAGGCAGCGGTAAGGGCTGCTCAGCGTGTTACTCACGATAAGAAGGTCAAGAAGGCCCTCGAGAGTGAACTAACTCATGTACAACATTAACCTCTCTTACGAGGTTGATCCAATGACGAGTCTCGCGTGGCTCTATCAGATAAGGGCGGATAAGGAGAAAAACATGAGGGAGAGGGACGTTATAATGGAGCGTTTGGCTTCTCAGCATCACTCTCAGTAAAATCCGGATGAGCGAAGGGCACAGCAGTGCTGTGACAGCACGAGGTGATCCATTCTACTGAGATCTTCATCACTACAATAGTGCTGTTATCTCAGACAGAGAAATCTTAAAGAAACGCCGAGAGGATAGCGATTGTCCTGATCTCGTCAACAGGACCATGTTAGTCAGCATCTCTCATCCGAGTACAGTAGACAATTCTGTGCATACATACTTCTTCGTCTGTGCGCTGTACGTGAGAACACTGCACACGTAAACACAGTCCTGCCTTCGCCTTACGATCGATACGATTGGTTCTGACAGTCTACACTGTACGTCCCTAACCTATAAGATCCCCTTGTGTTACACCAGTTACGGAACAGCGATGTTGGAATCATTGTTACACAAGTCGCTATCGTACTCTTACGTAGCTGTCAAGTTGCACTCGCTATCACCAACACCGGCGACCTAGATGAGAGAGTCGTGAGATGAGTCATTCCCTCACTTCCGAGGGAATGACTTCCACAGTGGATGTGAGTTCTCAACCACCAGCCGGCCTTTGTTAATACCACGGCTTTCACGTGACATGTGTGTGGAGGACAGCACAGGGCGAGCCATGTCATCAAGAGGAGCCCGGGAGGACGGAGCTGATCCGAGTGACAAACTCTCAAAAGGAAAAACCCACACAAGGCGTTGATGACGATGAAATGATGGTGAGCCTCCTACCCCAGCAACTTAACGATAATCAGACACTGTTCGTAATCTCTGAAGGACACCTACCCGTTGCGGAAGTCGGCCAGCAAGCCATCAACCATCTATACGGACCCATACCGTATATTCGTCTAGGAGTTTACTGCTGCGTGGCTGGAGGTAAAGTACAGTAGATCCGGGCTGAGCTAGGCAGCGAGCGGAAGAACAGTGCTGGTGTAACGTCATCCGCCAGGCGGATTCCGCCTCCAACACTGCTAGAAGCCGCGTCTCCGAGGATTCCCTCGCCACAGAGTCAAGTGGCATTCAGCCTCGTGCAGAGAATGTAAGTGTCGAGCTATGCTGTGTTCGAATTACGAGTCTTTTGATCGTTACCGTTGCTGTACTCTCGCTTATCATCTTGCTAGGCGGAGCGAGCCACACGATTTCGTTGATCCCGATAAGACAAGTGCAGCGTGATGACAGTGTTGCATTGTCCCAAGTTAACATAATGTTGCGTGTGATTCGGGAGAAGATGTGTGTTGTCGAGGCCAGTGATGGGAGTCCGTTCGGGAAAACATGCTAGCTGTGCGATCGTTCCATTTGGTCGGCATGTAATGCACGCATGCACAGCGTCGAGTTAGACAGGAAAGGATCCGGAGGATCGTAATAATAGTTGACGATGCTTGACATGATTCAATCCGCCTATGGCTCTTTTCCCATCAATTTGGTGGGAAACTAGAGAACCTCGATCCTATGCACTATGGATTGCGCTTGATGTAGTTATGCAACATCATCTCTGATACACATGATCAAGTCAATTTTCCTGGCTAGTCTCCGTCTGCTGTGTTGAATCGTCGATTATCGTCGTCATTCTTTGCAGTGCTTTCAATGTGTTGTTTCTACCTCCGGTACATCGTTTTAGCCTTGCGAGTGTCGCAAGGTGTATCCCTTTCATTGTTCCCCCCACCAGTAGACCAACTAGTGAGCAATCTTCGGAGACGCATCCTCGTCCGGCGATCAGACCTCCAGTGGCCAGCTCAGACAGAGAGTCCATCACTAGGCGTTTGTGATTCTTCACTACACGGGCCAACCTGTTCCTTCTTTGGAAGCTCATACGTTGATGTCGGCTTGGGAGAGCTCCTCCCGCAGAGTTTGCTTGAAAGCTCCGACGACCCAGATGAGCTTCGTTCTAGCGTCAATCGACTACTGCGTCATTTGAACCACACTGAGACTGTCTTCAGGAATGCTGAAGCTGTTCATTTTGTATTGAGCTTGCAAACATCTACGTTCACACACATGCCTGGTGAAGTTGGTATCCACTACAGCGATAAATGGAGCACCGTGAAAGGGACACGACCAGTTCTCGCCCCGTCCGATGCAGCTGGGCTTATAACCTTCACCAAGAATGTGACAATCACAGAGCTAGTACTCGAGAGCTCGAGCCCTGTTGTCGTGCAAGGGTTAAGTGTTGGACGAGTTCTGTGGGAAGGGCATGCTAGGCTCAGTCCATTACAGAGCCGTATCGACATGATAGCCCAGTCGCTGTTGGTTGGGATGACTCGGTCGCAGCTTGACGTGCCAGCTGATGCGACTGCTAATGATGAGATTCGAATAATCAGCGTATCTCCGGTGACACTGTTCACCATCGAAGGGCGTATCAGCATCAACAATCCCTGGGCCAGTGGGCATCGGAGCCTTGTCCTTGAGCCGAAAAGCAGGAGCAAATACCGACGTGCTTGGCTAGGTATTATAGCTGACTCCGCCGACTTTGTCGACATCAACTACATCGCCGATCACGGTTTGAGATGGAAGCGAGCACCTTCAGCGAGAGAGGTAGATCTCACACGAGGGGTCTACACCAATGATCTG